AATGATCCCTGGGCTGAGTCTTGAAGGACGAGTAAGGAGACAGGAGGCTGTGCCAGAAGATAGGCAAGTTGGTGAGAGAGAAGAATTTGAGGAAGAAAGTGGCAGAGATAAGACAGCTTTACTTGGAGATCTTTCTGGGTCACATTAAAGAGCTCAACTTTCATCCTGTGAGCAGTAGCAGCCACTGAGAGAGGTTTTACTCAGGGCAGCTGCTTGTTCATTTTTGTATTTTACTAGATCACTGTGGAATATGGTCTGCCAAGCAGAACTTTCAGCTATAATGAAAATGTTCCATATATGTGCTGCCCAGTTCTGTAGCCACATGGGGCTATGGAGCACCTGAAATGTTACGAGTGAGACTGAGGAACGGAATTTTTAATTTTACTAAATTTCAATATAAATAGCCACACGTAGCTTGTGGCTACTTTGTTGGACAGTGCAGGGTTAGAGGCAGGTGCTGTAGACCAGGCAAGAGATGATGAACTAAGCACTGACAGAGATGGAGAGGAGGTAGCAAAGGCAAGAAACATTTAGGAGATGATACGGTAGGACCTGGTGATGGGCCAAACATAGGTGAGGCAGAAATAGTCAAAGATGATTCTCAGGTGTTGAGAAGGAGTAACCTAGTGGACAGCTGGGCCACATACTAAACAAGAGAAATACAAGAAGACGATATAGAGGAAAGCATGTTTCATTCTATTTAAAAAATCCAAAACCAAACCCGTTACCTCAAGTTGATTCCGACTCATAGAGGCCCTACAGGACAGAGCAGAACTCCCCATAGCGGTTCCAAGGCTGTAATCTTTACGGGAGCAGACTGCTGCATCTTTCTCGCGCAGAGAGGCTGGTGAGTTTGAACCACCAACCTTTCCATTAGCAGCTGAGTGCTTAACCACTATCCCACCAGGGCTTCTTCACATTCTGTTTTAGACATGCTGAATTTTACATGTCAACTGAGGGGATAAAACACTTTACTATAATACTAAGAAGTAGGTAATATTAATATAGAAGCCCTGGTTGCACAGTGGTTAAGCCCTCGACTGCTAACTGAAAGGTAGGTGGTTCGAACCTGCCATCGGCTCCGAGGAAAAAAGGTGTGGTAATCAGCTTCCATAAAGATTACAGCCTTGGAAACTGTGGGGCAGTTCTACTCTGTCCTATAGGGTCACTATCAGTCAGGATCGACTTAAGAGAAACAACATTAATACGCTGCTGCTTTTTCTTTTTTTAAGTAAGTAAGGAACTGTGGTACAAGAAGTTTAAATAACCTGCCCAAGGCCATAGGAAGTGGCAAAGGTAAATTCTAACTTGAGTTTATCTGATTCCAAAACTCATGCACAGTCCTTTATACCAACATCAGCAAATAGGTGATAGCTTGAAACCTTGGGAGTGGAAGAACTCCCCCCAGGAGAAAGTCTGTGGCCCAGAAGAGAGTCCTTGGGGAGTATAATCATCTAACAAACTGTCTCCTGAAACAGCATGGTCAGGGAAATGGAAGGAGAATGAGGTGAGGGCAATGCCATGAAAGCAAGGGGAGTGCAGCATTAGAAGAAGGGTGTGACCAACAGCATCAAGTCCTATGACAGGCACCAATGACAGCTCATTGGATTTTGCAAGTGGAAGTCGCTAGTGCCTTTAGTGAACCCAGTTTCAACAGAATGGCAGAGGCAGAAGCCTGATTATAGTGGGTTGATGAGCAAAGAGGATATGGTAAAGTAGAGAATACAAACATAAACTAGATACTTTCAGTGTTTACTAGGTGTTAGGATACTGAATATATGTTAGATTTAGCACTTATTGAATATATACTGAATGACAAACACTATGCCAGATGCTTTACATATATAATCTCATTTTATCTTCACAACAACCTGTGAGACCTGTAGGTATCATCTTATCCATTTTATAGCTGTGAAAACTGACACTCAGAGAGGCTAAACAATCTTCCACTCACAGAAAATGGTAAGCGAGAGAGTTTGGATTTGAATCCAAGTCTTTAGACTTCAAAGAAGACACTCTTTCCCTTTATACTTTTATACTTTCACATTATCAGAGTTTTTGAGGATTGCAGAAGAGTTATTTAAAAAATGTTTTTAAAACTGGGCTCAAGCCCTAGGAACTGATTATCTTCTTGAAGAAATAAGATTAAAATATATGAAACAACAGCAAACCACATAAGACAGTATATAAGTACTTGGGAAAGAAAGTATTATGCAGCCGATCTGCAATCCATTCTCTCCTGTTTGGGGTGGAAGGATGACCCCCTAAGCAAGAAAAAAGATGGGTGATTCAGGTTAATCTCCTGGTAAGCATACTAATAACAGACCTCCTGATAGAATAATGGTATTTGTAGCAGGAGAGTCTTCATCCATGAAATGCTGCTAGTGGATATACCCAGCCTAGGACTGCTTATGTTAAACAAACCTGGAATGTATGGATTTAAGCTATCTAACTATCTGAGTATGAAATGGAGATGCTTTATAACCAAGAGCACTCCTTCTGTGTCAGAGATGTGAACTGCACATATCACTTAGAGACCAGACAGGTAATCATGCTGCAGAACATGCACAATACAAAAAGGACCTAGGAAGCCATACTGATGGTCCTTAGCCTCTCCCTGCTTTGCCCGTGCCTCATGGTTACCTGGATCCTTTAAATCATTAGTGAAGCTTGATACAGGGTAGGCTCTCTAACTCACCTGAGTCTAACGGACACTCCCAGTCCTCTGTGTTATCCCTGTACTAAATCATGAAAGGCTACGTACATCAACCCTTCCCCGCAGTTACAGATTGAATTGTGTCCCCCCCAAATATGTGTTAGAATCCTAACCCCTATACCTGTGGATGTAATCCAGTCTAGGAATAAAGTTTTCTTTGTTAAGTTAATGAGGCCATACCAGTGTAAGATGTATCCTAATTCACTCCTGAGTTATAAAAAGAGCAAATCAGACACATAACTGAGCACATACTAGGGAAGACAGATGTTACGCCAGGATCGCCAAGAACCAGGGAACGCCCAGGGCTGCCGATGAGGAAGGAACCTACATGGTCAAGATCGTGGTTTCGACTTTCAGCCTCCAGAACTGTGAGAAAATAAATTTCCGTTGTTTAAAGCTATCCATTTGTGGTATTTATGTTATAGCAGCACAGCTAACTAAGACTCCTTGGTTTTGGATTTTGAACTAAAGCTTGAGGCTCAAGTAAATTTTTCAAAGATAGAGGGGAAATGGAGGCTGTGAATAAAAGGAAGAGGCAAGAACAACCCGTAGGTGCATGGGACAGTAAGAGTACAAATCTGACTGTAACAAGTGGTAAATAAAGCTGGAGACACAGGGTAGGAGAACATCACAGAGAACTTCAAAAGTCAGAGAGAAGAGTCTAAGCAGAATGAAGGTTTTTATTTTTTTCTTTTTTGTAAAAAAATAAGGTACTGACAATGGAACATGAGAAATACTATCCTGATTGTACTGTGAGGAAAGCATTCCAGATGAGGTTAATCTGGGATTAGGGAAGTTAGTTAAATGTATCGCAGTAATCAAACCATGGAGATTCTGAAGCCCTTAAACTAGGACCATGTCAATAGATACAGAGAGAAAGGAACAGTTAAACATCTTACAGGAAAAAAAAGCAGACCTTGTTAAATGACAAGATCAAGGCAATAAAGGTTAACAATAAATCCATTGTCAAAGTGAGCACCTACTTCCCTCCAGGAAGCAGAGCTTAATTTCCTCCCCTGAGAGTAGGCTAGACTTCATGACTTGCTTTCAAATAGAGTAGGGAAAGGGCAAAGCTTTGCAGTGCAGGAACTTGGCAAACACTATCTTAACTAAGCGATAAAGGTTAACATCACCAGTGATGTCACGTGGATGTCATGTTATCCCTGATAGGATATGACAAGGAGAATACTTCATTTCTCTGGTATTCTTTGCAAAAACAGTATAACCTCCATCTAATCATGAAAAAAAATCAGAAAAACCCAGATTAGAGGACATTCTACAGGACACCTGGCCAGTACTGACAAGGCCAAGGAAAGAGTAACAGAATGTCACAACCCGGAAAAGACAGGGCAGACATGAGAACTAAATGTAATGTGACACCCTAGATAAGATCCTGGAATATAAAGAGGACACTAGTGGAAAAACTGATGCAATCCAGTGAAGTCTGGAGTTTAGTTAATAGTAATGTGTCGATGCTGGTTTCTTAGTTTTGACAACCGTACCATGGCAATGTAAGACGTTAAAAATAGGGGAAACTAGGTGAGGGGTATATGGGAACTCTGTGCTAACTTCACAACTTTTTTGTATATCTAAAATAAAAAGTTTATTTTTAAAAGGTGAGACGCTGAGAGAATGTTGACATCAGAATTTGGGACAGGAGGAGGTTGAATTCAGGAATATGAATGACCCCAAGATGTACTGGAGTAGATTATGTTCTTTTCCACGAAGAACCCCACTGAATCCTAAGATTCAGGGAACACAGTTCATCCTGCAGCATACATCATACGGGTGTAAGAATGCTGTCTTAGTTATCTACTGCTGCTATAACAGAAATACCACAAGTGGATGGCTTTAATAGAAATTTATTCTCTCACAGTTTAGGAGTATAGAAGTCCAAGTTCAGGGTGCCTGCTCCAGGGGAAGGCTTTCTCTCTGTCAGCTCTGGGGGAAGGTCCTCGTCGTTAGTCTTCCTCTGGTCTAGGAGCTTCTCGGCATAGGGATCCCAGGTTGAAAGGACATGCTCTGCTCCTGGCCCTTCTTGTTTGGTGGTAATGAGGTCCCTCTCTTCTCTGCTTTCTTCTCTCTTTTATATCTCAAAAGAGGTTGACTCAAAATACACCCTAATCCTGTAGATTGTGTCCTGTTCATTAACATAACTGCCTCTAATCCTGTCTCATTAACATCATAGAGGTTAAGATTTACAACACACAGGATAATTATATCAGATCACAAATGGAGGACAGTCACACAATACTGGGAATCATGGCTTCACCAAGCTGGCGTACATTTTTGGAGGATACAATTCAATCCATAACAAATGCCTTGGAAGAAAGTATAATAAAGCATTGTCATGCTGCAAAAACCGCTGTGTTAAAAGGCTAGCACCACCACTTACTAGCTAGGGAGTCTGAAAAAGTTACTCTAGCCTTTCCAAGCCTCAACTTCCACATTTGTACAATGGTGGTAATAATGTAGGTTCATTTTTTATATAGTAGCTTTAGGATCATGGGAAAATCTTTGCCTAAACTAAAAATAAACAACACAACTTTAAAATAATTAATGATATCAGTAACCTACCGCTGACTGAAAATCAGGGTGGAAAGCTCTACTATCAGGCGAAAATTCCCAAAGTATGCCAGTACTCCTTCCTTCTGGAAAATAAACATAAAATACAATATCAGTGATAACATTCTTATCCAAAACTCCAAATATTGAAGAAAACTCAATAGCTTCTCAGCATAAAATGACACTTTTCATATCAAAACAAACCGAGCAGTTTTCTACTTTCTACAGCCAGATTTTACATTCTTTTTGAGGATTTAGAAATATAGTTGTTATTCTATACCATTTTTAAAATGTGGCATATTGTACAAAATATTCACTTAAACAGGTTGCAAATAGTTGTCTCAAGTTGAACTAATGAGTACTGCAAATAATCATTAGTAATATTAGTAACAATTATTCATGTTCACAAATATGAAGATCTAAGGATGTTCACTCAGAGTTACACATAACAATGAAACTTAGAACAAACACATAACAATAGGGAAGTGGCTAAATATATTACATCTCCATACGCCACCAAGAGATACAATGACAGAACCACATAGAGTGAGAATAAAAACAATTGCAGAACTTGAAAAAATGACCCAGAGTTTACGGCCTTCACACCCTTTCTTAGGAAATTATTTGAGGATAGGCTACAGAAAAACAAGTGAGTAAACCAAGAAAATTAAAGACATGGGATTCAGGAAACAAAGGCTCCAACCCAGGAGAGTAGTGAAAGGAAGCCCCAGGCCCTTGGGCAGCAGACCTAGAGAGCAGCCTGTTTAGACTGGAGCAAGAGGATGGAGAGCTTGGGGAGCAGGAATCTGAGAAAAGATATTTCAGAACTTTGATACTATCCTTGAGAAATGGAGCAACTCAAATATGTGAAAGGCAGATAATGCAAGAAAAAATGAAAGGCAGTTAGAAACTCTAGGAATTAGATAGGAAATGCAATCCTGGTTGTGAAATAAACCTATTTTAATATAATCAAAATAAACACTTTACTGACTTCCTATGTTTAGGATCAACTGGAGATAAAGGGAAACTTATTGTGATTATTGAATAAAATATAAATATTTAAAAATATGGGCAATACAAAAATACAAGTACAGATGACAGAAATTAAGAAGCGAAGTGGGAGAGAAGTACAAGGGAGGTTAAAAAAAAAAAAAAAAGCCCATTGCCGTCAAGGTGATTCTGACTCATAGCAACCCTATAGGACAGAGTAGAACTACCCCATAGGGTTTCCAAGCACCAGCTTGTGGATTCGAACTGCTGACCTTTTGGTTAACAGCCATAGCACTTAACCACTGTGCCATCAGGGCTCCTCTAATGCTTAATACCTCCACCTTAAAAAGTATCAAGAAGTCCTATGAACCAGAAATAAAGGTATTTAAGTTTTAAAAATAACAAAGAACTAAAAATACTATAACTACATTGGAATGAAGAAAGGAAGAGAAATAGAGCTGTAAGAGTTAAAGCTTTATCCATCATAGCAAGAAGATAATACCAAAAAAAAAAAAAAAATACCAAACCTGTTGCATCGAGTCGATTCCAACTCATAGCAACCCTATAGGACATAGTAGAACTGCCCCATAGGGTTTCCAAGGAGTGGCTGATGGATTTGAACTGTCAACCTTTTGGTTAGCAGCCGTAGCTCACCATAGTTCTTAGCCATTGCACTACCAGGGCTCCAAAACTGACAAATCAAGATGTAGTAGATTCAAAAGATGGGTAGCATCAACTCCTTCCCTTCCTGTATGTACATAATGCTCATCTTATCAAGAAGTGCTGTCTTATTCCCCTCCCCTTAAATCCTGGCTGGCTGAAGTGACTAGCTTGACCAATGCAGTGGAATGCTGTGGAAGTGACGTTCTGGGTCTTCTGAGGCTAGTCTTAAGAAGTCTTGAAGCTTCTTACGGAACGGTCTTTTTGAACACTCCCTCTTAGGATGCTCCTTCTCAGAACACAGTTATCAGGCTATGAGAAGCCCAAGCTACATAAAAGGTCACATATAGGCACAGGTGGCTCAGTGGTAGAAATCTCATCTTCCATGCAGGAGATCTGGGTTCCATGGCCAGCAAGGCACCCCATGTGCAACCACCACCCATCGTCAATGGTGGTTTGCATGTTGCTATGATGCTTATAAGGAGCCCTGGTGGTGCAGTGGTTAAGCCCTCATCTGCTAACCAAAAATTCACCGATTCGAACCCACCAAACTCTGCAGAAGAGAGATGTGGCAATCTGCTTCTGTAAAGATTTACAGCCTTGGAAACCCTATATAGGGTGACTATGAGTCAGAATCGACTCAGTGGCAGTGGGTTTTTGGATGATGCTTATGATGTTGAGTGGGTTTCGGTGGACCTTCTAGACTAAGACAGACTAGGAAGAAAGGCCTAGCGATCTACTTCTGAAAATCAGCCAGTGAAAACCCTATGGATTACAATAGTTCAATGCACAACCAGTTATGGGGATGGCCAGGACCGGGCAGCATTGCATTCCATTCTCCATTGGGTCATCTGCCTTCACATCATAAGTCAGGGGCCAACTTGGGGACAGCTAACAACAACAGCACTCTATAGACAAGATCAGCTGAGCTCCCAGAAAAGAGTCAGCATCAACTGCCAGCCATGTGTGTGAGCCCCTCTTGGAGGTCCAAGCCAACTGAGCCTTCAGATGACTCCAGCCTCAACTGCCATTTAACAGCACCCACCTGAGAGACCTCAACCACTTAGCTTCTGTCTTTCTTCCTCTCTCTTTCTTCCCTCCCTCCATCCTTCTTGTCTTTCTTAGTATTAAGAACCCATGAATCAATGGGTTTCGATCAACTGCGTCATTATTCTTACTGGCGATCAAAATGTCCCATCTTTATCCAATGGGAGACCCTTTATGTTGGTTCCTGTCCTTTTGACAAACCCATTAGTCTCTGACAGGTTGCTTTCTGACACAAGATTACCAGGGTTATTTGGTTGTATGCAATACTTTAATATGTGAAATTTAACATTTTTATCCTGTTTTTGTAATACATATTATACACTCATATGCAGAATATTATTTTTGACTCATATGCACATAAACATACACATGTAGGAAAAAAAAGTAAACAGGATATATACCTAGATGTAAATGGTAACTAAGTAAACAGTATAAAAAATGATCTCTAGGTTGATTATATTTTCTTTTTGTTTCTCAGTATTTTCTAATTCTCAAATGAAAATGAATCACCTAATTTTAAAACTAGCCTCTATTTATTATTTACCATAGCAGTTTTAATTTACAATATTGTTATAAAGGGCCTTAATCTTTCATTTCAATAAACAACAACTGATGTTCAAATGTACAATTTTATGGTTCTTTTTCTACCTTTCTGGAGTTCCCCCTTTGCCTCTTTTAGAAGATCATCCTTCTTCTGGTCTCTGACCCTGGCTACACCACCCCTCCACGAGACAAACCTTTATTTCTAATGGCATATGGGTCACTTTCCCTTGGCATACTCACGTATCACCACAAACCTCATCACATCTAAAAGTTATCTTCTTCTCAAACTGGTTCTCCCATTTCCTTCCACAGTATCACATTCCTTTAGTGATCCTCTAGTGCTCTGGGTCATTTTGGCCCCTTCTTTCCCTTCATTCTCTGAAATCCAAGTTAATTACCATGCCACTGACTGTAAAATGGCCTTTAGATTTGTTTCTTCCACATTAATATAACCACTACCATCAACACCAAAATTAAATTCTTCATTATCTCTCACCTGCATAACATTATCTTTCTAAAATGCCAATTGTATCAGGTTATTTTCTGGCTAAAGGTCCTGTAACTACTCAATAAAATGTAACAATCCAAGGCTAGTGAGTTGGAACTTTTATTTCATAAGGTGGTTCTATATTACTCATCCAAATTTACAGCAACAACTCCCACACACACCCCATGCCCTGATCAACCCAAGTCCTTAATCTCATCCATGAAGACCTGATACTGTCTCCTCAGCGCCTTTCCTAGGTTTTCTGCGCTAGGAAGCCTTTTCTACTTTTTTCTGCCCCTCTAAGCGTGTATTGTTTGGGTGGAGGGGAGGGGGGAAGGCGAGGCTGTGTTTAAGTCCCATCTATCACAGAAGCTCTCTTAAGCAAAAAAACAAAACAAACCCGTTGCTGTCGAGTCAATTCTGACTCATAGGACCCTACAGGACAGAGTAGAACTGCCCCGTAGGGTTTCCAGTGAGCACCTGGTGGATTGGAACTGCTGACCTTTTGGTTAGCAGCCAATCTCTTAATCACTGCACCACCAGGGCTACAAAAAAAGCCCTTAGATAATACAAAAATGCATAAATATATATAGGAAAATTTATTCGCTATTTATATAAACTGTAAGAATATACATCAAGAATATACATCAGTAGTTATTTCTGGAGGATCAGCTATAGAGAACTCTATACTTACTAAATTATCTCTACAAACTCAATTTTTTAAAAACATCTATAATCAGAAAAAAAAAAGATTAATAGAAATTAACCCAGTGATCTTTCCACTCCCTAAATTACTATAGCATTACCAATCCTTCATTTGGTATACATTGTTTTTATTTTTTTTAATAGTTTCCTATATTTAAATCATAGCTCACGAAATGAAGACATCGGTATATCATATCCTTATCCCCTGCTCCCCACCCTCTTAGTTCAAAATCGCTGTGAGCCTCACTGGGGTGTAGAACTGCTTCAATAGTCCTGCTCCTACAGTCCCTCAGTGGTGAAATGGTAACATACTCCACTGTTAACTGAAAGGTTGGAGGTTCAGCTCTACCCAGAGGTACCTCAGAAGAAAGTACTGGTGATCTACTTCCAAAAACTCAGCCAATGAAAACTCTACGGAGCCTAGTTCTACTGTGATACACATGGGGTAGCCATGAGTCGGAAACGACTCAATGGAAACTGGTTAGTCTTGCTTCTATATTTTCTGGTCTTGTACGCCAATCCCTCTCAATATTCTTAATCCTATACCCATAACAGCTAGAACTCACATGTAGGGCATATTTCCAGAGGCATGAGTAGCCATTAGGTAAGCTTCAGGTTATGGTAATTCCTTCTTGTTAATTTATCCCCTTCCATCCCACTCAAGTATACCTACTGGAATACAAGTGAGATACATACTACTAAAAGGATAAGATTAAATCTGTTGTAATACCTTTAAATAGATGACAAGCTTTGATACTTTATTGTTAGTAAATTATAACAAACCTCGCAACTGACTTCTCATCAATATGGTGTTTCCACTTTTGTCGTCTATGTTTAAGGCGCTTTGCCTCTCGTAAAATTCACACTTGCCATGGCCTCTGCATGACTCTGTGAGGGCAAAGAAAACAGGATTTGTCTGATCCCTTCTAGAGCTTAGAAGAAAATTCTTATATCCAGTGATTATGAAAATCTGGATTTTCTTACCATGGCAAAGAAAAGTTTCCAACTGCTGACAGTGGCTAGGGCCAGAGGTTTAGAAAGTAGGGGCAAAGACAAGTAAAATTATTATGCACCTACTACTGCTAGTATTGTGCTAAATACTGTGCTATCACCAATGGCTTGGAGTAGGATGGCACCCTTTGCCACCACTGTTGTTGCTGGGTGCCATCGAGTTGTGAGTTCCACTCACAACAACCCCATATGACAGAGTGGAACTGTCCCATAGGGTTTTCTAGGTTGTAATCTTTATGAAAGCAGATTGTCAGGTCTTTCACCCACAAAGCCACTGGGTGAGTTTAAATTACCAACCTTTTGGTTAGCAGTCAAGCACTTAACCAGTGTGCCCCAGGGCATATTAGAATAAAAACTCTGGGCATCCCAAATTGGTACCTTGCATAAAAATACAACTGTGCTCTACAGTAGCAAAAATGAGGCCCTTTTTATAGGTTATTTAGGCTTTTATAGACTGGTTCAGAGCCTGAGCACATTATTGTGCCTTTCTGAGTACCCATAAACTAGAAATGAGTTTGGGAAACAAAATTCATGCCTATATTTATAACCATTTGCTTAACTTAAAGCATTCAAAGCTTTTGGATATTAAATTACAAGACAAGGTTTGAGCTAACACACAGGATGGGGTGGTCAAATCAGGCTCGTGTGAAACAGTGATCTTACCTAGTATCAAGCTTTATTAAATGTTACAAAGATATGGTCATCAAAAGAGTCTGGTGAAGCAGAAAGAGGCCTGGGACATCAAGGGCAGTCAGCAACCCAGGTCCTTCCTGCACTGAACAGGCATCTCTGGCCCAAAATAGGGGCATGCTCAACTAAGTGAGGGTCATGAAGTTCCTCACACAGCAGGAAGAGTTTAAATTATGAAACATCTCCATTTTACACCCCCAGAAAGTTGTACAGCCTACATGACATTCTCCAAGGAGCCATGCTTCATAGATCCTGAGTTCTCTTCACTGTAAATAATCCTTAGCCAGGGACATCCTGCTAAGCACATTTCAGAGTTAAGGTACCTTCCTCTTAACAAATATCAGTACTCTATTTACCCAACAGGCATTGGTGTTTCAGTGGTAGTCCAGTTGGCACCATGGTTAAGTACTCAGCTGCTAACCAAAAGGTTAGCAGTTCAAACCCAACAGCCACCCTGCAGGAGAAAGATGTAGCAGTCTGCTTTTGTAAAGATTTACAACCTTGGAAAGCCTGTGGGGAAGTTCTCTATCTTACAGAGTCGCTATGAGTCAGAACCGACTCTACGGCAACAGGTTGGTTTATGCTGAAGATCAGGTTCAATTTCCTGCCAGTGCACCTCATAAGCAGCCACCACCCATCTGTCAGTGGAAGAACTTGCATATTGCCATAATGCTGAGCATGTTTCAACAATGTTTCCAGACTAAGACAGATTAGAAAGAGAGGCCTGGAGATCTATTTCTGAAAATCAGCCAGTGACAACCCTTTGGATCCCAACAGTCTAATCCACAATCGATCATGAGAGTAGCACAGAACTGTTTCATCCTGTTGTGTATGGGGTTACCATGAGTGGGGGCTGACTCAATGGCAGCTAACAACAACACTTACCCAAATGTCTTGTTGACAAGTAGATTAAACTGGGTCACTAGTCACCTTTTGTTCTCTCTTTCCCCCAAGGAAGTAAATGGATTGGCAGGCCAGCTGTTTGCACATATTCCTCCCAGGGTTACTTAAAAACTTGATGATATATCTTACTCTTACTTCCTCATTGTCTAGTCCTCCAGTATCAGACCTAAATCAAATAATTTCAACAAAATGGTTAAATCACAGAATCGCAGAATAAGAATGGAACTTTAAAGATTATTTAGTGCAAGCTCCACCCAAAGCTTCTATCCTATTACGTCTATCTGATTTAAAATATGTTGTGGTAGAACAGTACATTTAAAAGGCAGGCCATTAACCTCGTTATAATGCTTTAATCATTGGGGATGTCTTTCTTCTGTAAAACAGAAGTCCCTCTACGTCTCTTCACCATCATCACTTGGTCCTAGTTCCAGGTCTGAAATAATCCAGAATAAATCTACTCCCTCTTTCACTTACAAGTGCTTTCACATTTCCAAGCACATTTTAAAGTCATCATGTCCCCAGCTTCTTGTCCTTTCTAGGCTGACATTTCTGAGTCCTTCAATTACCTGTGATAGGACAACAGCTAGCTAACCTAATCTGCCCTCTACCATTATCTAGAAGCCCTTCCCTGAACACACGCAGGTTCAGGAAACTCAGATGGTGATGATCTTGACTGTGGTCTGACCAGGCAAACTATACTATTGCCATCCAGTTGATTCCGACTCATAGTGATTCTACAGGACAGAGTAGAACTGCCCCATAGGGTTTCCAAGGAGTGACTGGTGGATTTGAACTGCTGATCTTTTGGTTAGTATTGGAGCTCTTAACTACTATGCCACCAGGGCTCCAGGCAAACTATAACTTTGTTTTAATTGGATATTGTGCTTCCCCTGTAGAGTCTAAATTTGAAATAACTTTCTTTGCATAGCAGATGTGACATGCTATTGGAGCCCTAGTGGCACGGTGGTTAAGAGGTCGGCTGCTAACCAAAAGGTCGACAACTGTAGTTGTGGTCATCTACCACCTCCAGGTCATTTTGCCCTTCTTACACTACTGTTAAACCTAAATGCAAAACTTAACATTTATCACTAGCAAGTTCTGTCTATTTGTTCCAGCCTATTATTCTAGTCCGAAGCTTTTGTAAAAATGTAATACCTCATCCAACATATGGATTAGTTCCCTTCCTGACTTTGTTTCAGTCATTTGATAAGCTTGCTTCTTAAAAAATCTACATTGAGAATAAAATAGTAACTAGGGTGGCCGTAACAATTCTCTCTGCTGACATCTATTTTAATCATCACATACCAAGTCCAAACTATCAATCTGTTTTCTTTCCTGGTATTGAAAGAAAAAATGAATTAAGAAAGCTAGCAAACTTAGAGAAAGAGAGGGAGACAGCTGTGCTAAGGTAATTTCACTGTACAAATCTGAGAGGATGCTCTGTGCTCACAGAAGAGGATGAAGCAGTTACCACTGAACAAGGAAGGTAGAGCTAGACTTTAACTCCTCCTAAACCAAAAATGAGGAAGGCCTTACAGGAGCTGGAGCCCTGGTGGTGCAGTAGTTAAGAACTTGGCTGCTAACCAAAAGGTTTGCAGTTCGAATCCACCAGCTGTTCCTTGGAAACCCTATGGAGTACTTCTGCTCCGTCCTATAGGGTTGCTATGAGTCAGAATCGACTTGATGGCAACAGGATTTTTGTTTGTTTGTTTATATATGCACATATATATTTTTTTAACATGATTACTTAACATTTTTTACCATGGCAGGTCCCTTAATTAGTAGTAAGAGTTATTAGCTAACGGTAATTTTGCTTTTATTTAGATTATGTGTATGTTAGAGAAATACTAATAAAACAATTAATTCCCAAAACTTACTTCTCCCAGTCTATTGCTGGTTAGTCTATGTAAAAAAAAAGTTGAAAATCTTTTATTTTAGTAGGAAAAAGATTAATAGATTATTCAAGTTTTTAAAAAATATTTTGCTTTCAATATCAAACATCTTTTATTGCAGGTAAATTTAGTGGGAAATATAAATCACCCAGGCCTCAGTATTGAATTTTGCTTTAGTAAACTATACTAGGTTGCTGTTTTTAGCACTTACCTAGTCAAAAGAATATTAATTTTTGAAATTGTATTATCTTTTGAAATGTTGCTATCACAGTTACTGTACTTACCTAAAATTTTCCTTTGAGGGTACTCTAACTGGAGAAAAGGATTAGGTGTAATTAAGAATTGGCAATACTACTAAAATCTTTTTAAAACAAGTTTTTCTTTTTTAACACTATTAATGGCAATATGTTAGTGAGTCCTAGCATTTATTTCATGGCAATGTTGGGGAAATTTTTCTTTAGACTACACATAAGACCAATATTCTTATAATTCTTGTCTCCTGATGTAAATTAAATTTACTGTATCTGACATAACAAATCCTTCATTGTTCAACACCACTTCACACATATTTTACTGAGATAAAGCACTAAACAAGAGACAGAAATTCTCACCTTCAAGGCATTACACCACACCTAGTACCCTTAAATAAATGCACCGAGAAGTACCTGAAGGCACATTTTCTTCATATTGGAATCATTTAATGATTAGATACCAAGGTAGTAGTATAACATAGAAGAGCAAATGCATACTCAGTGATTTTCTTTTCACGTTTAGCCTAACCGTTTTTGAAATTTATTGTTACTCATTTCAAGCCGTGGTTTGATTGGGGATGAGGCGATTCAGAAGAAACACGGATGAAAAATAAGCCTATCGGGGAATCATAGTATGTACAAAGGATGGTGGTTTATCCTTAAAAATAGGACATTAAAGCATAAATGTATTTATTTTACAGATAAGAGATTAGCCTGTTTGGTTTTCTTGATATTTAGTATCCTGCCCAAGAAGGGGTGAAAGCCGATTATCAGAAAAAACTTGTAGGATTTTAAACTCAATGAGTCGGCATCGACTCAATGGCAACAGGTTTGATTTTGGTTTTGGTACACAGGTAGTGGAGCCTTGTTGGTGCAGAGGTTAAGAACTTGGCCGCTAACCAAAATGTCGGCAGTTTGAATCCACCAGCCACTCCTTGGGCAGTTCTACTCTGTCCTATAGGGTCACCATGAATAGGAATTGACTCAACAGTAACGGGTTTAGTTTTTTTTTTTTTTTTTTGGTTTATACAGCTAGCAGTCAAGAAATCAAACGACTATTACATTGGGCAAATGTGCTGCAAAAGACCTCCTTAAAGTGTTAAAAAGCAAAGATGTCACCTTGAAGACTAAAGTTTGCCTGATCCAAACCATGGTATTTTCAGTTGCCTCATATGCATGCGAAAGCTGGACGATGAATAAAGAAGACCAAAGAAGAATTAATGCATTTGAATTACCGTGTTGGTGAAGAATATTGAATATACCACGGATTGCTAAAAGAATAAACAAATCTGTCTTGGAAGAACTACAGCCAGAGTGTTCCATAGAACTGAGGATGGCGAGATTTCGTCTCACTTTGGACATGTTACCAGGAGGAGTGAGTTCCCGGAGAAGGATATAGTGCATGATAAAGTACAGGGTCAGCAACAAAAAGGAAGACTCTCAATAAGATGGATTGCCACAGTGGCTGCAACAGTGGGCTCAAACATAGCAACAATTGAGAGGATGGTGCAGGACCAAGCAGTGTTTCGTTCTGTTGTACACAGGGTCACTATGAGTCGGAACCAACTCAACAGCACCTAGCAACAACAATAAAAATATAGATTGAAAGGTCACTGGGTAGTGCAAGTGGCTTGCACTTGACTACTAACCTGAAGGCTGGCAGTTCAAACCCACCCAGAGGTTCCATGGAATAAAGTCCTGGCAATCTGTTTCTAAAAAGATTAAAGCCAAGAAAACCCTATGGAGCAGTTCTACTCTGTAACACATGGGGTTGCCATGAGTCAGAATCGATTGATGGCAACAGATTTGGTTTGGTTTATATAGACAGAGGAGAATTCCTTAAGCTTTAAATTACTCCACCAGAAGATTTTAAAACTTCAGTAAATATATTAGAGGCAGGTATAAAAACAGCGATCAAAACACTACATAACCTATATACAACCTGTAACACCCTAAATCAAAGAATCTTACTTTCCACTATTTCTTCAGTAGGGCATACCTTTAAAAGCTATAGGTAATTTGCTTCTATTTTTCACTTGAATTTTTTTTAGTTGCAATTACAAAATCTTCTTTTAAGAAAAAAGCTTACACAAATAGCCTAAAAAATAGTTGGAATAAGTATCTAGTCAAAGTGCTTTCCAAATACCAGTTCTCATTCTATACGTGACAAGGATTTCATCATGATTTGCACAATTATTTTGTTAGGCTTACTTAAAATAACAAAATGCACAAAGTGACCTAGGGAATCACGGCACAAAAATCTAATAAATGTAGGGTCTGAAAATAGATACAACACAGAATTTCTTTGCATGGAAACATACATCCTTTCATATAATTTTTTCTATTTTGGTTGCCTGTGAATAGATTCACTTTAGTTAGATAAATTTATTTCATACTAAAACAGCAAAACACAGGAAGGCATCAAAGAAGCAACAACCATCTTTAAAAAAAAAATCGCTGCTGATTTCCTTCACTTATCAATTTTACTAAGGAAACGGTTAATTTCCTTTTTAAAAATCCAGCATGTATTCCATTGGTTTTTAAAAAAAGTATTTATCTCACATAATTAAACATCCAACTTGCCAATCCATGCATAGCCAGACATTTACTAAGCCTGTGATTTCAGTGGCCAGCAGAGAACAGCAATTCATAATATTCACATTTAAAAATGTGTGTAACCAATCTGTTATCTTTCACCAGCTTATACTCTTTTCATAACGCATTGACTATGTGTTGCTCATGTTCAGAGAACATATTTCTAAATTACAGCATGATATTAAATTCACCTGTGTACCCATATACATTGTTTCCACAGTTAACCTGTATTTTAATTAGTTTGCATCGTTTTTGAGAAACAGTACTTAGGAAACAAAGTACCTATATACCAAATATCTAAGACCTATAAAAGGAAGAAGTCTTTTGATGCATCTTAAAATGGTAATATATTAATGATTATAACATTTAAGAAAGTAGTAAAAGTCTTGAACTTGCCACAGGATCAGAAAATATTTTATTAGTTTCCTGAAAAGATGTTTTCTCTTGTTATCATTAGAATTTCAAACTAAGAAGCTATATTTTTCACTATCTATTAAATTTTTTTAAAAAGATGAAGGAATGAACAGTAGGAAATGCCAGTACAAATAGCCTATTTCTTCAGAAAAATAAAGTGATTATGGATATCTTTTGGAGTACAGGAGCACTTATTTTTATACATTAAAACACATATAGTTTTTAAAACATTTATATTATTTAAATTTGTGACTTCAAATGCGTGATCTGCAGAGATGCTTTGATATATCTGATTCTTGCAGAAATAATGCCAAATTGGCTTCTGAGTCACATCTTTGTAGGAGTCAACATGAACAAAAATAGAAGAATATTAATACACATTTGTATGAATTTTTTTCAAAGATCTTCAAATAGTCACAAATATCCAGTAATGTAAAGATTTTAGTAATACCAAACAAGGAGGGAAAAAAAAAGCCAGAAATCACATTTAAGTTTTAAAACATGTACTTTTATGCCATGTGTATTACATTAAATTTATAAAATTCTAGGTTACATTCATGTATTACTTCCAAATATGTATTTTCAACTTGGTAGTATATCTAGGTTGAAAAATAGTTGATTATCAAGAAACCAAACAAACATGCAAGGGATACAAAATTGCTAATTTACAAATGTATATGTAGAAAAATAATTTTAGCTATAGAATTTAATATGCTTTACTCCCTGAGATTTACTGCGAGAATCCTCTTTAAGCTCAGTCCTGGAATTGTGATGAAGTCTCTGAACAAGACGCCCCCATTGCTGCAACCGGCTTAACTAATGAATATGTAATTAAGCAGAAAAGAAATAATTTAACTGGTTATACAGGAATCTGTACCTTCCCCAGGCTGCTAGATCATGAATACATCCAGAAAGACAGACAAATGTCTCTATCTGTACAATCCTGAAAGTTTTAAGTAAAAATTAAAAATACTGGGGTCATTTGTCTCTCTCAAAATTTATAAATCCAAACAGTCACAGCAATACAGACACACGTTATTATTTTGTTTAATAAACAAGATAACATATTACAAAAGTGATCCCTGAATGGGTTTGGAGTTGGTCTTTATAAATTAAGAAATGTATGTTTAGACTTATGTTCCCTGAAGTCACCATTCCCCAATCTTGTCTGCTTGTTAGGCTTATTGCAAAACCACACTCACCAGTATAAGGCAGAATGCATACAGCACCGTGCAATGGTGAATTACGTAAGCAATCCTACCAATTGCTCTCCAATAGAAAATGAGAAGCAACAAATCTGTAAGAAGGAAAGATTAGTAATACATTACATAGGAAGAAAGCTGCATTGTTTTGCAAATGTATTTAACTCTTTCCTCTGGCAAATCATCACTGTCTACTCTGAATCTAGCACCAAACCAAAAACCTGCTGCCATCGAGTCAGTTCCAACTCATGGTGACCCGGTGTGTTACAGAGTAGAACAAAGCTCTAGAGGGTTTTCTTGGCTGAAATCTCTGAAGAAGCAGATAAGCAGGGCTTTCTTCCACAGTGCCCCTGGGTGGGTTCGAACCATCAACCTTTCAGCTAGTAGCGCTAGTAGCCAAGCGCAAACTATTTGTGATACCTAGGGACCCACAGTGGCTGGCGTATAGACATGTAACATAATATTTGTTGAATGAATAAATGGATAACTCGTCTCCAGTGTTAAATAAAATGAAAATATTATCAAATAATTTTTTAAAAGCTTAAATTACTGATTTTCAGCATTAAATTAATTCAGACAGTGATAAGATGGTGGCAGAAAAGGTTGAAAATGACCAGCTGATTTATAACACAAATTCAACAAAAAATATAGAAAATGAACAAAGGACAAATTAAATATTAACTTAAAATGGCAACACCACCACGAGGTCATGACATCAGTTTTTCCTTAAAAGGTCCTGAATCGAAATATCATGATTTAGGAAATATACCGAAACAGAAACATCTCAAAATATCAATGTAACTTTTTATTTTTTGCCTGTTTACCAACTGGTTAAAATGAAATTTAGACAGGAAAACAAGTGGCTAACATGGATGGACACCCGGGGAAGCATTCAGGTTTTGTGAGGTCTAAAGCTTATATAAAGTGGGACCTTCTCTTCTAAAAATAAAAATTGCAAATAAAAAATTAGATATGAATACTTACAAAAAGAAAATGTCTCATCAAATTACAAATGTTAAAGAGAAAAATACCACAAATGTGAAACATCCAGAAAAGTAATAGAACAGCCCTGGTTGCGCAGTGGTTAACAGCTCGGCTGCTAACCAAACTACTGGCAGTTCAAATCCACCAGACGCTCCTTGGAACCCTATGGGGCAGCTCTACTTTGTCCTATAGGGTCCCTATGAGTCAGAATCAACTCTAAGGCAATGACTTCTTTTGTGTTTTTTTTAATTGACTGTCTGTTATAGGTCTCCAAGTACATTTTGCCTACATATTTTGGCTGCACACTCTTTGATCATCAATTTATATGACGATTTTATATTTTCTGTAGAGAGAATAAAAAGAATTCACTTTTCATTCACCTTTTAAAAATTTCTGATAGTTTAGAAAAGTTTCTTTCAGCTTCATAGCTCTTGTTTGTAAATTTTTTGGATTATCTTATTTGAGAAAACCTTTACCAAGTTTCTTTCATACAAGTTTTCCTGGGTAGTAACTACTTTTGGAATTGACACCATTCATTAACCAGAGTATGTGGTGTATTATGAATTTTGTGTTATCCTGGACAAAGACGGCATTTTGTGTGAAGCCAGAATATTTTTCCAATGTCTTCACATGATTTACTCTTCTTTTAATTGGATTATTAAATAATGCAATAACCTATTAATTACTTCTATTCAAAAGTTATCTCTTCCTGTTAATGAATTACTGCATTTTGGTATGATCTAATTCTTTTGGTTACAATTCACATCTTAGTGGCAGAAAAATGTTTATTGATTTCATCGTTTATAATTTTTGTTTCATATTCCATTATGTTTATTTAATTTTCTCTCAATTTTTTAATAAATTACAAAATAAAGTTCCTATATAAATGTCCAAATCAGGAATCTGTTATTTCTCTCTTATTTTATTGAGATGGTCCCAATGTCTTTTGCAGTTAAAATGACATGTTCCCAACTTCCTCTTTACCTAATTGTACAAATGCCCTTGGTCACTCCAACTCCATCTAACATGAGGGGAAATATGAGAGGGGTGAATGTGGAGTAAAAAAAGTCTGGATTTTAATTGATTGTGGCTAAAACAGCTTACTTTACAAATCTTAACAAAACAAAACTATCAGCATAGGAGCACATTTCCAGGACCCTTGGAGGTGAAGGACTCTGAAGCTTAAACTTCTTTAGCTTCACAGTTAATTCCACCTGAGAGACTCTTGGGACGCAAAGCGACAACAAAACAGAACAAAATCCAAACTCATTGATTCCCACTCATGGCAACCCCGTGTGTTACAGAGTAGAACTGAGCTCCATAGGGTTTTCTTGGCTGTAATCTTTATGGAAGCAGATTGCCAGGCCAATCTTCCATGGCACCCACTGTGTGGGTTCGAACCGCCAACCTTTTGCTTAGCAGCTGAGAGCAAAAACATTTGCATCACCCAGGGACCTACAAGGGCCTGTCACTAGTAAAAAAAAAAAAAGTCCAGGCCTCTGTTGTCTGGGGCTTCACTCTGCAGCTGTCATCTTCATCTGAGATCAGGCAAAGTTGAGAAAGCTAACTTTTTTTTCTCCTTATGGATTCTAAAAGCTTCATCCTCAAATAAATAAACCAAAAGCATACTCTATGTATTCTTTGTACAATTCCATGAGTATTTTAAAAAGAAGTAGACGGTAAACCACATATCACATACCAAAAATGAAGTAGCCTGTAGAAATAGCAATATTCACATTCAGAAGAGATGAATTACCCCTGTAAATATTTTTAAAAAACATTTTTTAGCACATCGGTTATCAATGATGCCTACTTTTTTTTTCTATTGAGATTTAAATATAATGAAAATGTTTTCTGTACTTTCTCAAATGTTAAGTTGCCATTTTCAAATACAAATTGTAGGCAGAGCCAACATGGTGCTATAGACAGAAGGACTGTGCTGTCCCTCTGCAGCAAAGACCAAAAACACTACGTAAAACAGACATCAGTCCTGGAACCCTAAGTACCTAATGAAGGAATAAAGAAGTTGATCAAGCACTGAATGGAAAAAGAAACTGACAGAGAACAGAGAATGAGGAAAGCTACGGAGTGGAGGTCCCATACCAGCTAACGTGGCTGGATTCGTCATCTTGGGCTTCAGCCACCGAAGAACTCAGAGAGTAGGGGAAGGCGACTCCACAGAGCTCCCAACAGGAGACAGAGCACCCAGTAACCAGGGATACACGCTTTCCCACCCCACCCCCTTTCTTCCCTCTGTGCAGTCCCCACTGATTGCCCATGGGCCGAGCCATGGTTGCTTGCCCAAAGAGACACTAGCTCACTGCTGCCAGAGTCAGCCCCGCCGCCACCGGCCTGCCCCTCCAGCCCCATTTTTTTTGCTTGTACTTTTTTTTTTTTTTTTGGTTTGTATTTTTGTTTGTGTGTTTTTTGGGTTGTTTTTCTTTTTTTGGCTTTTTTTGTTGTTGTTGTTGCTTCTTTAGCCCCGTGTGCCATTCCCTCCCCTTCGTGACAGGCTGTGATTTTTTTGGTTTGTTTGCTTTGTTATTTTTTATTTCATTTTATTTTTTGGCTTTTTTTGTTGCTTTTCTCTCTCCCTTCCTTCCTTCTCTTTCTCTGACACAGCTAGCCCCATGTGCCATCCCCTTCCCTTCTTAACAAAACCAAACCAAACCCGTTGCCATCCACTCAATTCTGACTCATAGTGACCCTATAGGACAGGGTAGAACTGCCCCATAGGATTTTTAAGGAGTGGCTGGTGGATTTGAACCGCTGACCTTTTGGTTAGCAGCCAAGCTCTTAACCACTGCACCACCAGTGACAGGCTGTGATTTTTTGGTTTGCTTGCTTTGTTCTTCT